GGGGAGAGATCCGAGCGGGGCGGGGAGAGCTCCGGGATGGGAGGGGAGAGATCCGAGACGGGAGAGATCCGAGCGGGGCGAGGAGAGCTCCGAGAGGGGCGGGCAGAGATCCGGGACGGGAGGGGAGAGCTCCGGGAATGGGGAGGGGAGAGCTCCGGGATGCAGCGGGGAGAGCTCCGAGAGGGGAGGGCAGAGATCACTGGGATGGGGAGGGGAGAGCCGCGGGACAGGTGGGACACATGGGGATCACTGGGATCACTGGGATGGGAGGGACAGGGATTGGAGAGATCACTGGGATGGGAGGGACACATAGAGATGAGAGAGATCACTGGGATGGGAGGGACAGGGATTGGAGAGATCACTGGGATGGGAGGGACACATAGAGATGAGAGAGATCACTGGGATGGGAGGGACAGGGATTGGAGAGATCACTGGGATGGGAGGGACACATAGAGATGAGAGAGATCACTGGGATGGGAGGGACAGGGATTGGAGAGATCACTGGGATGGGAGAGATCCCTGGGATGGGAGGGACAGGGCTCGGAGACATCACTGGGATGGGAGGGACAGGGATCGGAGACATCACTGGTATGGAAGGGACACACGGGGATGGGAGAGATCCCTGGGATGGGAAGGACATATGGGGATCACTGGGATCCCTGGGATGGGAGGGACAGGGATCGCAGACATCACTGGGATGGGAGGGACACTTTGGGAGAGGAGAGAGTAATGGGACGGGAGGGATGGGGAGAGCTCCCGGACGGGAGGGACACATGGGTATCATTGGGATCCCTGGGATGGGAAGGACAGGGATCAGAGTCATCACTGGGATGGGAGGGATAGGGATTGGAGAGATCACTGGGATGGAAGAGACACATGGGGATCAGAGAGATCACCGGGATGGGAAGTACAGGGGTCAGAGACATCACTGGGATGGAAGGGACATAGGGGGATCACTGGGATCCCTGGGATGGGAGGGACAGGGATTGGAGAGATCACTGGGATGGGAGGGACACATGGGGAGAGGAGAGAGTAATGGGATGGGAGGGACACATGGGTATCATTGGGATCCCTGGGATGGGAGGGACAGGGATGGGAGGGACAGGGAGAGCCGTGGAACGGGAGGGACACATGGGGATCACTAGGATCCCTGAGATGGGAGGGACAGGGATCGGGGACATCACTGGGATGGAAGGGACACATGAGGATCACTGGGATCCCTGGGATGTGAGGGACAGGGATCAGAGAGATCACTGGGATGGGACACATGGGAATCACTGTGATCCCTGGGATGGGAGGGACAGGGATCGGCGGGCAGCAGTGAGATAGGAGGGACAGGATCGCAGAGATCCCTGGGATGGAAGGGACACGTGGGGATTGTCGAGATCCCTGGGATGGGAGGGACAGGGATCAGAGAGATTTTGCTTGTGGTGGTGTTTAGGGATTTATTTCCAGCTAGGACAGCTGGGTCAGTCAGTTCTGCAATCTTACACTGGTCTAGTTCTTATGGGGTCAGTCACCATCTTAGTCTTATTGCCCCAAAATCCAGACAACTTCTCTGATTTGCTCAGATGAAATACAACTTAAATTATTTCTGAGATCCAGGAAGCTAATTCCCTTTTAGTCCAAGCAATGTAAACATTTGAGGGTCTTTGATTACAGTAGATCTACACGGGTGAGTGAGGTTATAGAGATGTCTGCACAGTCCAGGGGCTTGGTCCACTTTCATCCACTCCATTGCCCTTCCAGATCATTCCATAGCCTTCTCTGGGTTCTACCACCAGTTTGCACTCAAATCCATCCATCTGAGGTGAATACATTCCAAAACACAACAAGAATATGTCCTTCCTTAGATAAAATACCTATTCCCTGGTTTAGTTTCCATCCTGTTCAAAATAAACCGAAAGTGCTCAACTGCTGGTGCTTCTTTATTCTTCTTCACTTTAAAACTTCAGCTGAAGAATGTGCAAGTAGTGCCTGAGCTGCCAACACCATGCAACAGCTTCTGGTGGGTTTATTTTGATGGAAAACTCACTGGGATGGGCATTCCAGACGTATCAGAAGGAGTTCACGAATTTCCGAGGCTGAGTCTATAAAATACATCTAAATATCCCAAACTGGGGGTGGATTCCTTGGTCCTTTAGGTCTTGAAAATCGATTTGTAAAGCCTAGGAAGGAATTATATTTGTAATGCAACAGATTCTGTATGTTACAGATGTTGATTGTGTAATTCCTGAAGACAATAAGGTATGGGAAAATACTTGTCATTTCAGTTCTTTCCCAAACTCTAAGATACAGTAGAAAAAAATAACATTTTGTAGTTGTGAATAAAGTTCTAAATGTGTAAAAACCAAATGTGTAAAAACTAATGAACATTACTTGTAGTGTTTGTAGTTTATTAGTGTTACACCTGGCATTTAGTCTTTCAAAAAACAGGTACTTCCCACCCCCCAAAACAGAGGAAAACATACCAAAGTGGAGGAGAGACCTCAGAGGGTTTGTTGGGGCAGGTTCTGATGGTCTTGTCAGTGCAGATGGACTGCAGATGCCTAGAAACAGAACAAAATACTGGAGCAGTTGGTCACTGGGAATTCCCTGAAGAGCCAAACTCATAGAATCATGGAATGGTTTAGGTTGGAAAAGGCCTCTAAGATCAAGTCCAACCATCAGCCAGCACCACCACTGTGTTCACCACCAACCCAAGCCCTCAAGTGCCACATCCACATTCCTTTGAACATTTTTCCCTGATCTAGTGATGAGGTGTCCCTGCCCAGGGCAGGGGGTTGGGACTGGATGATCTGTAAGGTCCATCCCAACCCCTAAATTCTGTGATTCTATGTGTTTTGAAATGTTTGCTCAGAAGTGCTTTAAACACTTCTCAGCAGTCCTGTTTTCAAGATAAGCATTTCAATTCTAGATCAAAAGGATTTTAATGAGAAATTCCTTGCTTATGCCCCAAACAGACTGGGCAGAATCCAGACCGGAGCTCACATTTCCCCCAGCACCTCTATGGTATTGGTCCCACAACAATGGTTTGAATGACCTGAAGAGTTGGGTAATTTGGGTACACTGAGGGTCCCCAAAGGGCACTACAAGGGCAGCTCAGCATCTTTCCAAACTCCTACAGCTACTGCCATCCAGATGAGCAGGTACTCAGCCAGCACAGCTCTGTGTCCTTTCACGTGGGACTTTTCACACTGGACATGTTCAGGTTCTTGATATTCCCATCCCACCTATTTTAAATACTTGCTTAAATCCATTGGGAAGATGCACATTAGCCTGAAAGACTTACTCTTTCTCACGTTTTTCAGTATTTTCATGCTCTGTTAAAAAAAAAAAAAAAAAAAAGGCATGTTGGAAAAAGATGTAGGAAGCAGTGGATCAGCCACTATGATCAAGAGATTTTACTGGTGAATGTACAGGTATAAAAACACTGATAAATGTACATTAATAAGTTGATCAGTTGCTGTGACAAAAGGAATTCACTGATGAATGCACTTGTCTCACATCTCATAAAAATCTTTGTGCCCTGTAGCTGAGACTGGAAAGATTTCTGCCATTCCCTTTGGCTTTTTCTTTGCCATCCCAAGTGCCTCCAGTTTGTATGTTCCTTGTTGTTTTCCTCAGATGCTTTTCTGCTCAACCATAGCACCCCAAAGTACAAGCTCATGAGGATAATTAACAGGGCCCACAACAAGAGGAGGCTGGTGCTGATTCTGTCCTTGTAGGACACACTCAGACTCCACTTGAGCAACTTTTTCCGAGAGGAACTGGCACTCCAGGTGAATAGAGTGCCAAGGCACAACTTTTGGCACGGGCAAGGCTGTGTTGCTCTGTTCCCAGTGCAGACAGGGGAGTTGTTTGCAGTTCTACAATGGAAAATTAAATTACTCTTGTTTCCTTGCCCTAAACATGAGCAGCCCATGCTCACACAGCAGTGAGAGAGCAGCAGTAGCTGTGGCTAGAGATAGCTCTTCTCACCCTTTCCATTTTCAACACCTTTCCTCTTGCTTCTTTTACCTTGCTCCTCCTGAAGCACTTCGTGGGCTCTTCAGATGATGTTTTGGAGCCTTCATTCCCCAAACCCACAGGACCTGAGGAATTTCTTGCAGGCTGCAGACCTGGGAACATACACCATACATATATTTTCTGTGATCATTCACAAATCCTCCTCCGTTTTCCTAAGTGCTTTGTTGCTTCTTTTCATTTCCTCTACTAGAAATGTTTCAGCAGATCCTCTGGTTGTGTTTATTTTCATTACACCTTCTGAGCTCTCCTGCAGTGAAGGCCTGAAGCACTGCCTGGTGATGCTTTGAACAAGTGAGATCTCAGCTCTCTACAGGGTTAGGTGTGAGTATGAAACCTCAGCTATGTCCTGAGAAAAGAGCTCAGCACTTACTTGCTGCTTCAGAGAGGACAAACGAGTCTGGGGTTCTTTCAGGAAGAGGGGGAGGAGAGCTAGAGCGATCCCTGGTTGTCTCTGAGAAAGCAAAGATGAAAGAGTTGGTTACATAGCTTCAAAACCAAAAGAAATATATATATATATATAATAACCAAGCAGCATATTTCAAAGGAAACACACAACATGCAGCAAAAGAAGAGGCTGCAAGGAACATCCTCAGGTACAGGATGAGGTAGGAGCTGATTAGGAAATATAAATCTACCAGTTCATTTGGTTGCAGAACTGTTAATTCTGGTTAGAACTATTTAGTTGCAGATCTATTTAGCATGACAAAATTTCCATTGGACTGAGCACAGATCCTAAAGGTATTTAGTAAACATGGCAAAGCAGCTTCAGTAAAAAGCAGATCTTAACTTCAAAGAGAGTTGATCCCTGTGTGAAATTTATACCTGTTCGTGTGGTCCGAAGCTTCACACTCTGGAAACAAAACAAACAAGGCAGGTGTTTAAAATTCTCACATTTAAATGTTGCTTTCTTGTACACAAGGAAGCCAGAGAAGACGAGGAAAGGATGTGATGTGCAAACAGCCTCCCACACACACCTCCACACTCGTGTGGTGGAAGAGACTTGTGCCTTATTCTCTCCCTTCACAGAGCTGTTACTCAGCTATGGGAGGACAAGAGATGCCTAAATCTTGTTCAGCTCCTGCCTGTCCCACAGTGTGGTGTGAACACTAACCTCCTGTCTTCATTATCCTTCTCCAAAAGAGGGACAATGTGTTTATTTCCTTGTATGAGACTTAGGATGCCCCAAAATAATGTCTGGAGTAAAGCAGATGTTGATAAGGAGGAGCCTGACCAAGGTCACATCTGCCTTCCAATCCTGAGCCCTGCAATCCCTAGAAGTGTTCCAGGGGCCTGGAAGGTTGAATGGGGCTTGGAAGGTTGGATGGGGCTTGGAGCAACATGGTCTAGTGGATGGTGTCCCTGCCCACGGGAGGGGGGTGGAATGAGATGGTCATTAAGGTTCCTCCCAACCCAAACCATTCCATGATTTTGTGATTCTATGAAATAATTTATGGGAAGGACACAGTACCAAAACTAGGGTCTTTCTCACAGAAGGAATTGTGATCAGGAAATTGGCATGAGGATAGTGCTGGAGAAGAGACAACAAGCCACTTATTCACCTTACATGGTCTCAGTCTCACGGAGTCATTAATCCCCTCCGAGTGAGACTCACCACTCCACTCCCAAGAGGTTCCAATATTTGGATTTCTGTCTGGAAGCTGAAAATCAGAAGTGGCCACAGGAGATTGTCCTGGAAACACAAGAGAGGTCATTTCCTACCCCAGGCAGCTGGAGCTCAGGCACTGCTGCACTCCATGGAACCACACAAACGTTGGATGAGCCCTGAGCACTTCTCAGCACCCACATTTAATGGTGTTTGGTGCACTTACCTGATTCACTGGCCACGATAAAGGACTCTGGGGTGCGCTGGGGCAGGGGGGGAGGATCATCATCATCTGCCTGGGCTAATTGGAGAGACACAGACAGGTTACCTGCACAGCATAACACTGTGGGAGACTACAGACCTGTGTGGAGACTCTGAGAACTGACTGCTCCTGCACCAGAGATGATGGTTAAACACCCCCAAACTGGGATTAGAAATCCAACCAGTTCTCAGCACCAATTTAGCTGCCACCAGCAGACCTGCTTCTCTCAGCCCCAGTGAGCAGTCCCCTGCAGGATACTCTGCAGAAAGCAGTAGCTTTTGACCTGGTGAAATGCTAAGGGTTGGACTTTAGGCCCAAGCCAGACTTGACTTATAGATGAATCCTGACCATCTTGTGCTAGTTGGGTAAACTGTTAATAATAGAAGAGATTTAGCAAACTCTTTCTGTTAGCTGCTGTTATGAATGAACAAACTGTTTGTAATGTTTCAGGAAATTTGGATTGAAAACTTTCATCCTCAGAGAAAACTAGTTCTGGGAGCTTTCTGAGTGCTTCTGGAGCTCCTGTTGTAAGAACTGGTCAGCAGCAGTCCCTGCCTCCCTGTGAGAGCTGCTCAGAGCAGCTGTGTAATGCAAAACCCAAAATTATGTTGTCCTACAGATGTTGTTTATGGGACAAAAAAAAAAAACTAAGGCAGGATGAAAAGACTGTGAGGATGAAACCAGTTGCTCCCTCAGCTTCCATGGGAGCACAGTCCTGAGGAACAGCCACAGTCCTGCCTGGACATCAGAACACTTTACCATCTGTTCCCTCCAGCAATCCAGAGTGACCCAGCCCTGTGTGTCCCAGTGCTGCAGCACTTACCCAGGGGGGACATCCTCTCCTCGTTCAGGGCAGCGTGGTGGGACAGTGGGGAGTTGGCCATGGAGGGCTGCAGTGAGGCCCTGGCAGTGCAAGAAGGGAGAAGCTCATCCTGCCCCTCCTCAAAGCACTCAGCAAACACAGGGGACACAGGGTCATCTGGAGAGAGTGAGGAGAAGTAGGGATCTTCTGCTGAGTAGAGGCATGGGTAAGGGTGTTGCCCATGGTTCCTGTAGCTTGGGGGGTTGTCTACTTCTTGTCTTGAGGCTTTCAGCTCAAGAGGGGAAAATCCATCCTGCTGCTTCACCGGGAAGCTCGAGCGACAGGCGTTTGGCCCCTGTGAGCTCCTAACAGGCTCAGCATTCCCTCTGTCCCATTCCCAGCCTTCCCCCTGCTGTGCCAGCACCGAAGGGGTTGAAGCTGTCCATGCCAGAGGTGTTTTGCCACGAGGTCTCCTCCTGCCTGCTCCCTTTGTGTCCATGTCCAGCAGCCACTGCTCAGGAGAGATGGTGTCGAGCTCCCAGCTGCGACGTTTCTGAGGGACATCCCCAGCTCCCCAGGGCTCGGGGGCTGCTGCTTTCCTGCAGCTGATGATGTTCAAAGTGCCAAAGGAGATGGCCTGTCTGATGGGGGGAGCTCCATGGCCAGAGCTGTCCTGTGCTCCCGTGGCAGACAGCGATGGCAAGGACACTTGGCTTTGTACCACCGGACGAAGATGTTGGTGCACATTGGGCTCCTCTTGCTCTGAGCTGCAATAAACCACCGTGATGTGGAGTCAGAGCCATGGAGCACTCAGAACCCTCTGCTACCCAACTAACAAAGCCCTAACATTGCTCCTAGAGCAGATCCATCCCTCAGGAATGCAGAGCCCAGCTCAGCCTCAAGCAAGGAGTGCAGGGAAGGATTTTGCCCCACTGAACATCATTTATGCCAGTAAACTAAACCAAAAAGCAAAATTGTTTACAGAAAGCAGACACTGCAACCCAAAACATGCCCATGGAAATATCCCACCACACTTGGAAGCTGCCCTTCTCAGAACTGCTATTCCTGCAGCAAGAGGCACTGGAGCAGCACGTGCAGGTGGAAAATGGGACCAGTCTGGGGGCACATCACTGGGCAAAGGGCTGGGACAAACCAGCTCTGGAGTGTCTCCATGTGCATGAGCCTTTCCTATACTGTTTTCAGTTCAGATGTGAAACAGACCCCAGGGCAGAAGAGGAGGACAGGTGATGGCACACAAGGAAAAGGCTGAGACAGTCTCAGAGACACATCAGCGAGAAGAGCAGGAATCATTAGGAAATCAGGAAAAATTTCTTCACTAAAAGGGTGATCAGGCTTTGGAACAGGCTGTGCAGGGAAGTGGTGGAGTCACCATCCCAGAAGTGTTTAAAAAACATGAATATGTGGCACTTGGGGACATTGTTTTGTGGTGGGCCTGGCAGTGATGGGTTAATCATTGGATTTGATGATCTTAGACCTTTCCTAATCTATGAATTATGTTAGGGACAAACATGAGAGTCAAAGTGGTGCTCAAGGGAGGCTGAAATGCAACTGTGCCCCATAACACACAGCAAAAAGTGCATCTTCCAGAAATCCTGTGGGTGACTGCAGATACCAGCCCAGGGGATCCTTGTGCTGTGACCTTACCAGGTGAGTAAACTGAGAGAATAAATGTCTTCCACTGGAGTCAGGAGTGGCTTGGCTACAGGATGTCCTGCTTGTACCTAGGGGAAGAAAAGGGTGGGAAACACATGAGAAGAGAGAATGCAAAGAGCACTGACATGCTGCTTCAGGAGCTGGAATTTGTGCCAACTACTTGTAATTATTAGTGCAGCTGGGAAATGACAAGCACCAACTTGAAAACCCCAAGCTGGAGCTGAAAACGGTGGAGAGAACCTCCTGAAGAGCAATTCCTGCCAGCACCTTTTGGAAATGAGAGTGCAGGGAGGCTACAACTGTGCCAAACAGCTGCCAAGCAGCCACCACGGGCTGCTCTGCCTTCAGCATCCCATGTGAGCATGTGGCCCAGGAAGTTGGGTGCTGGTTTTATGTGTGACACCAGCTCATGGCCCTCCCCATGCTCTGCTCAGTGCCCTCAGAGGATGGGGAAGCTTAGAGGGGTGAGAGCTTTGCACAGGAGCTACAAAACTACATCCAGGCTTGAAACATTCACTGCATTTTGTGTCAATCCACTACTGTGTCTCCTTTGCTCACAGACTGTCCATAACACAGATGAAAAGGCTTTTTCCAGTTCTTTTCTCACTCAGCTTTGGCTTGGAACATCCTGCAAATCCTGTGGCAAAACTGAGGCATGAATCTCATCACAGGATCCTCTTCCCAATCCTTTAGATAAAAGGTACTGACAAAATGAGCTCATTTTGACCTTTCAGGCTTTGCCAGAGGATGGCAACACACTTACTTCAGCCAAACAGCTACACAAAACAGCACCAGACAGAACAGCAAGAGCAAAGAAAAGCTTAACCAGGGATGTTTTGGGTATTTCTGTTTCCATGCAACTTCATACCAAGGCCTCATTGTTCCTCTTTGGAGGTGCAGCAGATATGAATGACTCTGACCTGGTTTTCCCCAAGATATTTTACCCTATTCTCTCCCACAAAGCTACTGTAATCCTGATGGCCTCATTAACACACCACCAGCACTGCCTTGTGCTTCCCAAGAATCATAGAATCATAGGATCAACCAGGTTGGAAAAGACCTCCAAGATCATCAAGTCCAACCCTACTGTGGTTACTAGACCATAGCAGTAAGTGCCACATCCAGTCTCACCTTAAAAACCTCCAGGGATGGTGACATTAAGCAATTATAGAAGTATATAGAAAATGGGTTTGAGGCCAAAGAAGATTTAGAGGTTGTTTGTGCTAAGCATTGCACGTTCAGGGGAAGAGCTGAATTCTCACGGGTTAACTTCAAAAGAGACTCAGTGTGGGCATCAAGGGGAGCAAAAAAC